ATATATATATATATATACGCAGATGTATATAGAGAGGGGACAATAAGTTGATCAAACTTAAAACTGATGAGCCCCAAGAAGGGCAAAACCGGTCGTGGGCTGTCGAAGAGTATTCAGCAGCCTTATGAGTAGCTTCCTTTATGAAAACCACTCTATTTTGTATTGAGACATGAATAAATGAGTGCCTTGATCTGTTGAATTATATGTCTGTCCGATTAAGTAGGAGATAAAAAGGGCTAAAATGTTATAAGAAACTGGCTGATATTTGAGCTCTGTCCAGAACAGTCAAACCAATTCGAAAGAATGCCAGTGACATCTATCAACGAACTGACATGTTTCTCTGTGGCCTAGTACAGTAGTCACCCAACAATTAGAGCCCCTGGAGCGCCGCTTGTTCTATTATTTGCTGAAGGTTACAATTTGCAGGGGGACTGCAGGAATTCCACTCGCATTACCTTTTCGAAATAATTGTCAGCAGTCCAACCAAATAGTCAACCTTTTCTTTAATGATGCATGAGGACTGTTCATAATGGACTAGTTAACAGCCGTTTCGCCCCGAAAATGGCGACATCAGTTACCAGCTGTCCAGTATGCAGCACTGCTCATGAAGGAAAAATACGTTGATATCCTCCTGAGCCTCGGTCTAATAGAACTCAGAAAAAAACTGAGCAGCAGATTCGGTTAAACTCACGGAAAATAGCTTGTTGCGCCGATACATGGTACCAGGATAGGGTGATATAAGTTTACAGCCATACGTAGTGCGGATCTACAGGAAGAATCCATCCGAACAACAAAACAAAGGATACCATTACTAACCGATGTTTTTGCTTGCAGTCCTCATGAGCTCTCCTGGGTGATTGCATATGAACCCGACGATTTGATACGATAACTGAGGACTGAAAACGAACGTTTAAAGACGGTTCTATCGCAAAATAGATTTTGGTCAAAAGGGATGATGTTCATGTAGTATTGTCCTATAATTTGTGAAATTCGTGCATAGCCTTATGGATGTCGGAATGTATCTTCACGTCCCTGTTAGACAACAATCCGAAGTTGGGATCAGCTCAGCTGTTCCCGATTGGCTCTTATGAACGAATACTTCATCGGCTAGTCGCCTGTGGATGCCATGTGATTCTGCCACCAAATCAGTGAGGTGCTTTGAGTTCCCTTGCCTGTGGGTTTGGGATCTTCAAGCCACGGCACGTTGGGTTTGAAGCAGTTATCCAACCCAATCAACCGTGAGGCTGTTGCTATGTTCATAAGTTTGTCCTCAAGGTTCAATCCGACTGGTTTTACGCCAGCCAAGCCTTCACCGGCCTCGCTGGGCTTGACAAAACCAGTGGATGGACCACTTGCTTTGTCAATCTCCCAGGTCTGTCCGAAATCGAGGTCATTGGCTTGGTATGAGTCAGTCGCGAGGACAACCTGGTTTTGGACATTGAACACCAGGGCCTTTGAGTTGACGTTCTCACGGTCCAGCCAACTCCGGGGCTGGTTGAGTACTTTATCACTTTCGCAAGTTTGTTTTCCATTGTCCATCAGATTGTGCGCTGCTCACCTGGGGACTTGAACGAGTTAGCACAAGACATTGAAAAGACGTTCGTTTACTGACAATGTTTGTATGTGCGAATGAAATACCTGCTGGAAATGCATATTGGATTCTGTAAGTTAAAAACAACCTGATGGTCCAAGTTTATATAATGCTCGTTGTTTTCAGTGCAGAATAACGTGCGTCCAAGTGATGAGGTTATGACAGTCCGGTTCGGTTTCTAATTATGGTATCCGGAATGGGCTAGCAATCAGTTTTGAGTGCACTCTAATCATGGGAAACACTAGTCAGGTACATTTAAACCACTTCTTTCTGTGAGATACCACATAATTAATGATTCACTTCATATCCAGATATGAGACGTGGAAACAGGCAAAACCTAATTCCCCTAGGTGCTTAAGGTGGATCTTTTCCCCCGCCAAAAAATTATCCCCCGTCCCTCAAAAAAGATTAGAAAAAAGAGGATATGAAATTTGTACTTTTAGATTTTATTGAAGAGGGTTGAATCGGGATATGTCATCAATAATTTGCATGAAAAGGTCCGTTTTTTGCTACCTTCGCTTCCAAACGAACTCACACAAGTAGCAGCCCACTAAAGATCGGTGTGTACTGCATTGGCGTTCATTCTGCATTTTGTAGTCGTGCCAAAGAGAATCGATGGTTTGAGTGTGAGCTCCAGTCGTTCGAACCACAAAGTTTTCGCTATGATTAACCGTCGGAGTCTGCAAAAACTGCCAGGCGCAAACTTCGCGAAGAAAGTTCTTCCAGTCAACAGTGGTCGTGTGGCAAATAGATAATTCCTCTGAGCGGAATTTGATTTTTGCCAAATTTTTGGACCAGAAATAAATGAATAGAATCACTGTCCTAAACTCCATCTTAGACCACTCCAGCCAAGCTCCCTTTCGGAGACCGATATCTTGCCGACACTCTCGGGCATAACAGCTCCGCTGGCGAAAAGTGACGCGGCTTAACTTTTCGCACTTGCACTTTTTGCATTAGTAGCGGGGCTTATCTGGAAAAGATCCCTTATGGTGATATACAGCTATGTATCTTTCTTGTAGTTCTGGTTAAAGGGGTTTTAGTGCATAAACCGTATTTGGGCACTCGAGTCCTTATTTTCTTACTTTTGACCTCCTTATTTTGCAGGATGCATCAAGCATGAGCGCACCTCATTCCACTTCACTCGCTGTTTACAGTGCAGTAAATGAAGGCTACAAATGAACATCAGCAATTTGTGCTGTGACTGTATTTTCTCGAAATTGTTACTCCGTTCGGCTAGACTGGAACTTGCTCGATTGCTGGGGATATACTGCCAACAGAAACAATGTGCGCTGCAAGAAAACCGAGTGGCTAAAATTGACTGATTTGATGGAGACTTACTGGAAAGAAAGACTGCTATAAAATAATTCACCGCGAGTCTTTTCTGAAGGAAATTCATTCCATAACAATCGTTTTATACCCGTTCCATGTTACCTCCTAAATATAAAGAGGCCACCACTCCTCAGAGACCCTAAGAAGTAGCTGTTTTAGTTGCGAGTATGCTCTCCAAAATGGAAACGAATGTAAATTTTTATCACAAGTGTAGTTGCACAGCTGAACATTTTCGTGTCCGTTTTGATGGCGATCAAGTGGCGAAGTCAAAGATACAATTGCCCCGTCAACAGTTGGTCCTGAGTAATATTATTCTGGTCTTAATTTCTCCAGGTTCTGGTCTAATGCTCTTGCTGTTCTGTGCATTTACAGTGCCCTATAACGGAATATATATATATATATATATATCCATCACCTACTAAGAAGAATTGACAAAGCCTTGAAAATTGGAGCACAAGTCAGACCCATTTAATGTTTTGCAAAACCGTAAAAGCAACGCTGTTACTCCCGAGACTGCTTAAGGTACGCCTTCAAACTCACACTTGTAGATATTGAGAATTTAAACTATCCTTATCAGTGGTTGATTTTGGAATAAGAACTTTTTCAAGGATCTAAAATCTCCGTGGGATTACGGAATAGCTCAGTTCGGTATTTGGAAATATATATACTGATTATCTGCGCTCACACTAATGTTAAAGGGGATAACGATGCGTACGAGCGGGCTTCTGACAACGGGCCAAGTAAAAATTGAACCACATATTTGCTTAGACCTCAGCATTTAGTTCACATTTGTGAGAAACCCCAAAAACTTTGATCCTGGATACCAATGAAACTTTCTTGCGAGGATCGAGATTACTCGCACACAACCGAATATCTCACCATCACAAGTGGAAATTACTCCGATGTGATTGACCAGTTCACCACATGTCTACAATCTTTGATACAGTTTGTCGCAAAGTCGCACACTGTTATGCGATCAGAGGTACCGACTGGTCTTCGCTGGAAGACCAAGTGTATTTTCCCTGTAGTAGCTTTGACGAAAAACACTTTCCAATGCATAACCCGTTACAAAAGGGTTGACTCTCTTTTGTTTGTGTTAGTCCTTGTCAATAAACTTCATATCATAGCGTACGCAGTTGTACTGTCAACTACTGGCCACTTGTCATTCAGTGGGAACTCTTTTCGTGTCTATCAGTCCTCTCCAACTAAACAGAACCTGCTGTGTGATGTTCCTCATATAGGTAACACTGGCCGGTTGAAATTTCCACGATGAGGTCATGAAGTAGAATTGAACTGCCCCCTGTAGTGTTTAGGGGATTAAAATGAACCAAGGACACCTCAAATGTCTACAGAACGGCCGAGTTCAAGTACTTAGTAGTGACCTACGATTATCCTGGAATACTGGTCACTGTGACCATGCAACTGAAGCATCGGCCATTCTGGGTCACTGATTAAAACGGGGTAAGCGACGCATCGAAATTAATACCTATAAACTTAAAGTTCTGGTCTGTCAATACTTACGCTGACCTCGTGAAGAAAACAGAACTATCCAGCTAAGTTCTATGTTTACCGGATGTGCTACAACTGAACATCACGTTGGGCTTTTCGCCAGCAACGTCAACAAAACCATCAAATATCTGTTTAGACTACACTTTTGTTATCCGACCGCTCTGTCTAGCCACACAGTTGCACATAGACAGAACTGTCCCAGTAGAGTTCCGAGTAAACCAGTAGAATGAGTTAGGCATTTTTCAGTGCTATGTTAATTTACCTATCGGAAGCAAGCCATAACATGTTTGATTTAACAGGCAGTCCCTGAGTGAATGTTCAGTGTTCACTGACAGAAATACAGGCACCTGATGAAGTCTCCTGACCTGGCTTTCGACAGTGGTTTTTGAGCTTCCGTCTCAGCATTTGGTTTATCATATCTCGTTTGCAAGGTTTAGATAGACTGGTTTCAGCTAACACACTCATTTACATAATCAGCTGAATGCATCTGAATCTTTCGCTTATGGTAGCCTTCTACTGAATGCGCTGAACAAGGCTGCCTCATGTTTCAGTTGATAAGTGTTTGAGGTATTGCAATACATTGTCTAGTCGTAAAAGACTATTCAGGAGGTTGTTGAAAACTCTTCGACAATCCACTGCCGGCTTTGCCCTTCTTAGAATTCATCAGGTAGGCGCAGTTCCCGGATTTCCGTCAACCTTATATTCTGCTTGAACCCAACTTGCACGAAATTCGAAAAATACACTTATTCGCATGCTAAACAGGTATTCACGGAAAAATCAACTGAATCCATCTGAAAACCTGCTTTATGGTATTTTATGAACTTCCTTACTTTGACCTAACTCTTGTACAAGAACATGGCATAACAGTCATCGCCGCGAAAAAGGTTCAACACTTTTTCGCTTCTTCTTCTTCTAAGATTTTGGGCGTAATATGGGTGGGGGTAAGAAACTAATAGTTCATTATTAATAAAAACAAAGCGGTACCTGGTTGGGAAGCAAGCACTTGCTCATTTTCGGACTAAAGCTGCTATTCTTTGCGCAGCGTCCCTCATAACTTAACCTTGGACGTCAGGCTGGACCTCTTCTCAAATCTGTGCTAGTCCTACATTGGCCATGAATTTCACCAGCACATGTTCGCGAAGTTGAATGTGCTGTTCGATGAACGGTTTTCACATAATGAGGCATCCACTGCTTCCTCAAAACGATGAGTAGTCAGGGCAGGTTTGTACGGAGGTCTGACTGAACTATGTGGTTGTCAAATTTCTGGGGTCTGAAATTCAGGGGTTCAAAATTCACATCCAAAGAAGACACCGGTCCTCATTTTTGCGCGTAGTTCCCACATATGTGCAGCTGGGTTAGCATGGTTTATGTAATAGTTTGGACTGAAGTATATGTTAAATATTATGTGATGAAATAACCAGAGTTAAGCCGCACCGATTGATTAGCTCCACAAGTCTGGACTTGAACCCATCGTAAGTGTTTCAGCTGGGCGATACCAACTCCGACCCGAAACTAGATCACATCGTTTCCACATCTGCTGCCATTGACCGAAATCGTAGTCAGTTACTTAAGGAATCCATCTGTTGTATCGGAATAAGATGGTCTGTCTATAAGTACCGCGGTTATTGGAACTGAGAGATGACCTTCTTCATGGGCTTATATTCCGTGGGAAGGACTACTCATTGGACAGCAAAGGCTGTATTTTGGTGTCACCAAACTTAAACTTGAAACTGCTTAGCACACATTTGGTTTCAGCTGAAACTATTTTCGCCCTGCCCTGTTACCCGGGGGAAGGCCAGCAGATCAACCGGTACTGTAAAATTGCAGATGAACTGGTTGACCTTCAAGCCAGACATCCGAGCATCTACTGTGAAATACTTCATCATTGTGCTCCTTTAACTTTGAAGGTAATTTGTTTGTTTACCTTTGTTTCACACCCCGAACTTTGCAGGAACCCCTGGAAAGATTATTCACTTTGGTAATCAGTGCCTGTGTTGGACTGCAAATCACTCGGCTTAAACCATGTTTTAGTGAAGTATGTTTTACTTGAAGTATGATGTTAACAGCTGTAATGCTACATAGAAAAAGGAAAACGAGAAGGAAAAAATTGGAGCGGATTCACAAAGGTAGCGCCTTTACGGAATTCGCAACCTCTGAAAACCCTAAATTGAAATTAAAGTGCTAAAATAAGTTGGAGAGTGGTAAGTTTAGTGCAAAGAATCGTGCTAATTAGCTTGTGTATCTCAGTTCGTTGGACACTATGCTTAGGCTTGTGGAATAGAAACAATGCATAAGTCTCTATAAACCGACCGGTGATGATACCAAGTGTTGTGATTCGTATCAGTCCAGACTATGTGTGTACGAGTTACTTTACTAGAACACAATCAAACGCCATTCTAGCTATTGGTTTTTCATTATAGAATCCTAAACCATTCACCATGGATCCGTTCGAAGAGAGCTTTTGAAAGTTTTCTATGAACGTTTTGTTATCAGACATGACCTACTGTGCACCCTTTCCCATGGGAGAGGATCTCCAGAAGAAACTGAAGACTGCTTTAGCTCAGTGGTTGCTTATGTTTAGTGGACTGAATTCACTGAGGGCAATCTGTTTTGTGTGACATCAACATGAAGCTTTTAGGGGAAATGTTTGAAAATAAGTCCACCGTGTTGGATCTAAAGAACCGGTATATAACGTACAAGTGTTTGAGGCGGAGTTCTGCACTTATCGAGAAATAAACAGTCCTGATACTGTGGTCAATCATCCGGTATTCACACCAAAAAAAGCAACCTGAGTGGTCCTACGAAGGCGGGGGTACGAAGTGATCTCTGTTAGTAGAAAGGAGAGCAGTAGACCAGCAGGTAAGGCAAGACAGTTCATCTGATCTCTGATCGGGAAACATAGTCACGGTTTCCCCTAGTCTACTCAAACCAGTGGAACAGCGGTGGGTTCTGGCGCATGCCGTATGAATGGTTCTGGGGAGTGATGTGCGACCAAAGTCCACATCTTTGCTACTAACTATACGAATGTTTGCACGAAACCGGTCTGCTATGCACGCGTAATTTGGGCGGAATTCTGCCCAATTAGTTACAATGGGAACTCCCTAAGGAGGTCGTCAGTTCTCTGATATGCCTGCGATAGAAGCAACAGGGCTGTGCGCCCATAGATGGCAATGCACGAGAGCCGCTGTGAATACAAATGCAGAACTCCGGTAAGCACGACAAAATTCAGAGACTAGAAATTACAGCAAAGACAAGAAGCTCCAATGCACTACAAGCCTAGTGGGGGATTCGGGCATCATATTCAGATTAATCACAACATCATAACATTTGTGCCATTTAAGTTTGTTTCTGTGGCCACCTGAATTTTATAGGTAACTAGTCTTGCAGATAAATATGGTCACTTGGTTTTTAACGTGAGACTTATCTGGAACCCGTTCTTAAGTATTAGTGTATTACGTCCATATACTGTATTTTGATGTCGCGAAAATCGTACCCACTGAAACATGAGGCGGCCTGCTGCAGCACATTCAGTTGCTTAAGACGGTTAAACAAGAGATTCAGCTCGCTTCCAGGTGAGTCTCCCGTCGAAACAGATTTGAAATGCAAATGAGTGTCTTTGTCGCATTCAGTCCAATTTGGGTTCAAGTAGAACATAAGGTTGACGGAAATTTGGGGATTGAGTCTACCTGATGAGCCCCAACAAGAGCGAATCCAGTCGTGGGCTGTCGAAGAGTCTTCAGCAACCTTATGAGTAATTCATCACGTTTAACCTTGCCTTGTCTTTCACGACGGTGATTTCTTCTATGAAAGATTCTCGTTTTATGGATGATTTTGATGGGGCCGCTGTAAGCGTTTGCCTGCGTCCAACGGTCACCACCGACCACTTACTTCCAGTATAGCACGCACATAGTATAAGGACAAAACGTGTTTAGAATAGATATCTTATGTCTTGTATCTCGCGATATCTAAGAATACTGGGTTTTCGATGATTGAGCAACCAAATGATTGCATTTTAACAGCGGATTCAGTAGATTCCCAGAGCACTTTCTCAGTGAGATCAGGCAGTGATTAGTCACTACGTTTGCAACTCGTGTGTTCCTTTTTGTAGTGGAATATAAAGAATCTAGCTAAAAATTTTCGCTTCTGTCAGTTAGCCTGAAACTTGAGAATTGTGATCAAGGCAACTGTGTATTCCAAATTCAGCAATTCTTATCTTTATGGTGGACAACTGATGCTAGGTTGCCAAAATATGGTTGATTTTACCCGGAGCTTATGAAAGGACAGTTCTTGTAAGACTGTCAACCGTGCTTGTTGAGTTCACTTGTACGAACGTACGATATTTTCTGCCAGTTTTTTTCAGTTGTGTGGTATTTGTTACTGGACATTTCTACACTTGAGATGAGATAAAAGGACCCGTTACAATCAATTCAAGAAAGCTGGGCCCATATAACTGACAAGGCCATTAATCACACCACCGTAAACATTGTCACAGTGTCTGAAAGCGGCCGTTAGTAAATGACATTCGATGCATACTTCTGTGGACGGTTAAGTATCCTGACTCGCAGAATTACAGGTAAATGTCTCAGTCACACAAAGTCGAGTAGAATTTATTGTAAACTATCTAAGCGCGGTTGTCCAAATGTCACGTTTCTTTCCAATCATTTCCAGGTATCCGTTATGCGTAATTGTCAGCTGCATGTGGTGCAACAATACGGTACTTTCTTGGACAAAGATGGAACATTTCAAACCCATAAGCCTACCGAAAGTCATCACATCGCAAAACGGTTACGTGGCGGCATGCGGTCAACAAAATCGGTAAAACAACCGCATCCTTTATTTCGTTGCGACTTTTGCACTGAGAAAGCCAGAGTTTCACAACAGGCAAAACGGTGTTCACGTAGTTGAATTCACATAGATTTAATAAAATGGGGTACAAATGGTACGAAACGGACAAACATAATTAGCCAAAGGTTTGCTGATAGTTGTACTCACTTGTTGTGCATAACTTTGTTCGAGTTTCCAATGTTTCGTGTCATTTCATGTTCATCACTATAATTTACAGAAGATTGTGTTTCGAAGACGAGATCGTAACTCCAGCTTGCGGGTGGGATGCGTAGTGGCCAAATCGTAATTGGTAAGCCCACATTCATGCAATGTGGAACCAACAGAGAAGATGCTCTGCAATCGGACCTATCAAGATATCATCGAACGGCTGGTCAAAAACTAACTCTCAATTGTTCTCGTGTACCTATTACATGTCCACTTGCTTTACAGTAAGACTTGGTGCGTTATATCTCCTACTGAGGAACCTTCACATATCCCAAGTGAAGAATTATGTTTGCTTCTAAAGCAAGTCATACCAATGGCGACAACATCCATAGAGTCAGGTCTGATAAATTTTGATCTTTAGATATGGCGGCCTATTCTGTTCTCTTCTGTATTTGATCGGCTACTCCTCATAAGGACGCGATTTATTCGCTCAAAATTCTGAGAAACTTGTTTGAAATTACGCTTTTAGTCATAAAGAACAGGTGTTTTTCTTAATGAAAAATGTGGGTGTTTTAATTCAATGTTTTCTTCAGGAATCTTCATTTTTGCGGGAAGTTTTCAATCGCCGATGTGTTCCATCCTGCTTCTTAGATTACAGAGCATAAGAGAGCCTATAGGTAACACACTGAGCATCAGTTTGTTGAAAAGTTTTTGACAGCCCAGAAACGGCTTCGCCTTTATTTGGGCCTCATTAGATAGGCGCAGTACCCGAGGTCCAGTCAACCTTATGTTCTATTTGAACCACCATAAACGAGTGATCCTGCTTGATTCCGCTGAGTTTTCTGACAAAACCAACTTCGTGTGAGAATTTGTCGATAAATGAGCCTGCTTCGACAAACACACTTATTTGCGTACAAAATTGGGTTTTCACAGGAGATTCACTTTAAACCCAGCTTGGTACAACACTCGATATATTACTATACGTTGTGTACAGACAGCACACTACTCATGAAGCCGTTGAAAACTCTTCGACAGCCTAAAGCCGGTTTCGCCCTTGTCGGGGTTAATCAGGTTGCTGCAATCTCGAATTTGCTGTCAACCTCATGAACTCGGGGACTGCGCCTATCTGATGAGCCCCAATAAGGATGAAACCGGTGATGAGCTTCTGAAGGGATTTCAGCAGCTCTGTGAGTAGTTCCACTTGTGAAAACCGTTTTTCGTGACTAAACCGTGTCCGCGGTTTTTCGAAGGTACTGTTCAACAGCAGAATTTATTTAGATTAATTCAGTAGAAAATGTATCGACTGTTTTGTTCAAACTTGACAACAGCACTCTGATCTCATGAGACTTAATAGACGGGTACGGATCAGGCTGATAAACGGCTTACACTTGATCTACGCAAACTTTGAAGTAGAGTCTGAGGGTAGAATGTAATCACCTCTCATCGAAAAAGTCCTCGGTGCAGTTTATGTGCAGTGTCGCTGCAACTTCCTTGAATTGATGCCCCATTCAGCTATTCCTGTCACACATAGGACAGGTTCTTCTGAAGATATTTTATTCCAATTTTTTACTAGACACTGACTACCAGATGGTCGGAGAGCTCACGGAAATAATTGTTATTTTTGCTTTATAGGACACCAAGTGTGTTTCAGAACAATGAAGGAGTTGCTAAAACCGGAATGTTTTTATCCTTTGTCAACAAGAAGGTAGGATGCAAAAGCAGTCGGTATAAGACAAACTGGAAGCTTCCAGTTAGATTTCATCTTATAAATCAACTTTCCGGTTAGCCTGTTTTTTTCAGTCAATATGCTCAACCTATATCAATCATTTCCTACCCGACTGTGTTTGAAAATTCCATCGTTCGGAATGAATTGAGAAAAACAGTTCTGGCCTCGCTGCATCACATTATTCTCCCGCTTCTCCCAAGAGATTTTGAGATTATTTAGTATTTTCCTGCCTTCTTCCAGTGGCGGTAAGTCAACCAAAAAATGAATAGTGAGAAATGTTTTATTAGTTTTTTTAAACCATCGGTATTCCGGTTAGGAAAACTGGACGTGTCCCGATCCTAAAGTGAACCTTGAAAATTCGTGGGGTCGGCTTTGGCCGAAAGCGTTTTATGACTGAAATTCACTCCTTACGAGTGTTCTTCAACAAATTTCATGCTTATTCACCCCGTTTGCTTGAACGGTACTCAACGAATTTCATGCTCCTGAACCTGCTCGTTTCGTCACGACATAGATTTGCACCGATTCGGACATCATCACCACAGTGCTCTGAACACCGTTCCTAAACCTCGCATACTGGACGCTTGGGGCGTGCAGGCAACCCATACCGACAGTTCGGTGTCGTTCAGGTTGCCGTGCTGCACACCCACACAAGACCCCAGCAGTCCCGACAGAATAGGGCCACCAGGTAGGCCTCGGTACGCCAGCAAAAAGATATCATGTTGCAGGTTCTCACTCCAGTGCGTTAGCATAATGCTGCAGAATTTCAGAGGCCACCGACCGTTGACATGCACCGCTCAGTGGCTCGTTCGGATGGACATGTTTCCACTGAGAACATAGTTCTATTTATCTGGAACTCTTTGATGAAAAGTACCGTGTAAACATCTAATTATATTCTGGCTCTCACATTGATGAGAGGGCATTGCGAAATCGCACACTGCAAAATTAAATCCCAGTATAATGAGCTGAAAAATACAACGACACAATGGCGTGGTGCTTTACGTCAAAACGTGACGTTTTTCTAAATATGAACATATCAACTTATGAGGTTCCCGGTTCTAGAAAGGTTTCTTCGAAACCATCTGAAAATGATTTAACAAATCCAGCACACCAGTTTCTAGTTTATGGCATAAAACATACACACCTGATTGAAAAACCAAGCTTGAGATGGTGCTTTCCCAAACATGTTCTCTGACTTATACTGACTTCTGCAAAGCATGTTGTTTGCCAACGCTTTCAACGTCCTCGATACTTTTCAATCAAACTAGGCTCTCAGTATTCGCACAATTGAATCGAATTTCCGAAAACTATGACGCGTCCCTGATAGACTAAAGCAATTGGGCAAGTGAGTACGAGTCCAAACTTTTGAGCCTCATTTAGGCATCTTGGGGTCTCAGCGATGCTGAGAAATCATTCCACCAGACATTTCCGCCAGAGGTATGGTTGCTTCAGTGATCTGCGAAAATATGAACGTATATTAAAAAGGTTTTTGGTTTGAGCACATACGCAACAAAATGCAGCATTTTTGCGCAAAAAGTTCTACTCCACTTGTAAAGGTTTTTCAGCTAAGAGCATTGTGCGGCTAATGGACCCCGACAAAGTATGAACAAGCCACTCAGGGTAGTGGGTAACCCCGCCTGCTACCTGAATAGAAAAAGCTGTTATTGAAAGATTCGTAGGACTACCAAACGCTTTTTGTCTCAGGGAGCAGTCTAGCCTGAGAATGGTCTCCCAAGAAAGGAACAGCTGCTCAGGCCTCAAAGAAAAACCCCGAACGGTTCGTGGTGTGCCACCGGTAAAAGCGACTCAGCAAAGTTCTACTCTTCTTATTTACTGATGGGAGTTCCCCGTTTGATATTTGATATCTGGATTACTAAAGGATGTTCTTTAGACATGCCATCTAATTTGACTGCGGTGACACAGCATGGTGAAGTTTTTCCCTGTTTTCTTATGTGATCAACATCGAACGAGTTCATTTTATTACCTCGGGGGTCGAAATCTGCTGCCGTTAATTTATGATCGACATGCAGTAGACGGCTGTGGCCCAAAAGTGCATCCGGCTCCTCGCGTGAAGTTATCATCTTCAGGCTACCTAGAGGCTACCAAATCCGAGGGATTCACTGTCATGCTTTTATTGGAATCTCCACTCAATCAGCCCCCTTCTCGAATGTTAACTAACACATACACTTGCGTAGACGTTCAAGGCCACTTCTGCGAATCTATTCTAAATAGGTAAAAGTCACCAGTATGCGAACAGTACCATTTCATATCTGTTCTTTTTTGTGTGGCCGCTGTCTTCCCCATGTCTGTGTGATACCGCTGTATCTTGCACAGCTCCCATACTTACGCAGGTGTATTGGTTTGAATGCACCTGTCCGCAATTGTCACATATACACAGTCTTGAAATCTGGGTGCAGGGTGCTTCTGAATCACCTGCAACATTCCATTTGTTGTGAACTCGCAAATGTGGAGCAGACCAAATTGCGTAGGCTGAGTACAACGTCTATTAGCTGAAATTTGTGAGTCATCCCGATCGCTGTGTGAAGGTTCCAGCTATAAGGCGGTTTCACATTGCTTGCAACATCACGCCAGTAACCAAGACAACCGATGTGGCGATTGTTGTCCGATATGGGCTTCCAGGACCCTGGAGCACTCTGGGACGAGTCGCCATATGGAAAACAATGAATGGGTGTGCTAAAATAAACATGTTGTATTATTCTATTTATCAGTAACACTCACTGAATGGACCAAAATATCAGAACATGAATTAGTGTGAAACAGTACACAAGACTATGGGGAGAACTATCAACCAACTAACAACCAATTGCGGGATGTCTAAAAACCATTTAAGCCTGGACGGTTTTCAATTCTAATGTATTTGTATCAAATCCACTAAAGAGGTGCTTACTGTACGGTCCGCAGGCGCATTCCGAGAAAGTATCAATGCTCCTTATCTTGTACAGAACCCCATGTCACTCCGATTAAGTGGCTGGACCATGACTTCATTTGAGATGAGAGGAACCTCCATATCGATGTACCAAATACCAAGAAGTAGTCAACCAGAACGATAATCTAGATGAAGTAAACCCTAGTAGAAGAGTGCTGGGTGGATGCCTTCTCAGCTTGAGGGATTAGTGAATTAGTGTTACTGAATGAGTATCAGGTCCCTGGTGGGTACGTCCTAACATTAGTATTACCTGTCTTTTTCGTATTTAGGCAGAAGAATAGGTAATTTGTCCGAAAAACGCGTCGGAAGAGTTCTATTTCGTCTCGTGTAACAGTTCAAATGTCCAGCCTGTGGTTTCCATCAACATCCGATTGAGGCCCTGTGTGGGACGCTAGCATATCGATCGTACATAGATGCGAAACCCTTGGATATCAGAAATCGGTATCCGCACCGAAACATGGATTAATAAGTGTCGTATAACTTGTCACCTACAAACTCTTTAGAGGTATGGTGAGGTGACTTATGGAGTTTGGAATGGTTGGAGAGTATCCCAGTTTCCTCTGAACTAGGGGGCACCAATCAGTGGTCTCCCGATTTCGTTCTGCACGTTTTTCCTTCCTGGGATCTTTACAAAAGTTTTTTTTCGAATTGGTAACTTCCAGGTTTCATTTGAGATGAGTTTTGTCGTGTGCAATCCGAACATCATTGCATTCTATCCTCAAGGATGAAAGCAATTATGAAAAACATAGGTGATCTTTTAATTCAATCGTGGGGTATCATTTTATTCTCATATATCGGTTACAAAAAAACTCCACCTATATAAATTGATTTCGTCATTCCCAAAAATTACTGTAATTATTATTACTATTATTATTAGTAACCCAGACAGAATCATCTGTGAGATTAATCTCTTACGCTACCTCATTTTCACCAACACCCTCTAATCTTTCGCATTTATCATTGGATGCGTTCAGCATACTGAACCATCATTACTACAGTACTCAACTGAAATATCCTAGGGCAGATCACGTGCAAATTGAAAGACTATGATATACCCGAACATAAAATATTTGAAACTAGTCATGTACCGTGAAGTTTGGCCTGCGGAAATCGAGTTAGTTACACAACCCATTGTGGGCTTTAGGCCCATACCATTCAACCAACTTGGTTATTATTTTGCACCTAGGATTTCATTGCCCATCGTCTCACATGCGGCGTCTACTACCCAACGCTCATCTTGGAAGAGCTCAGTTTCAAGGTTGTGCGTGTTTGTGGCATGTACGCAATGTGTGTTAGGTGCCGTCCCGTGTGGTAAAACCAAGAGTTTTTATATTTCATACACAATCTTGCTTCCAAAAAGGTCCCTCAGAAGTGTTAACATTCTATGATAGAGTCTAAGATGCCATTTTTGTCAGTCACACCCTGCTGTGTGTTGTTCACTGAAATCAGCCGTCTCCGAGGACCTAAACAAATTGACTGGCTGTGATGGTCGCTGTTGGAGAATTACAGTAATATGTGGGCGACATATCGATAAGGACAATGCAGTTCTGTTGCCGCGTTGTATCGGAAATACAGTGCATTATTGTCATACGCCTATCTTTTCTAGGAGGGTAGCCTGCGTATCTCGACCACCTAGAGTGAATTTTATTGTCATTGTAACTCTAACCATATTTCTTGGGTAAGTATTGGAGTGATCTGATCTGGATTGTAATCATCAGTCGGGGGACTTAAATGGGAACCAGTATAGTGTGGCGAATCTGAGTCCGGACCAAGACAACTACTTTGGCGTCCGAATGCCCAAGAACAGGTGAAACGTGAAGAAGCTCAGTAGATGAAATATGCACAGATCTTGTGCTGGATAAATTTCCTGACAGAATTAGGTGTTGTTTAATTTTGGGGATCCAGTTGCTTGTGACATATCAGGCAACATATCAGTAGGACAGCAATGAATTTGAAGGCGTCCATGTCAGGTTCGAGCTCAAATGGGTGAAGTAAGGGTCAAGGTTATTCTCTGATTGGTCACATAGAGAACCAACAACCAACAGATGTGAGGAAAGACAATTGTGTTAATATTCATGAAGTCTAATTTGCACTTACATTTGCTTGTTTCCCCATCAATTTATTGTTTACTTCTTTATTTTTCGTTTGTAATCAATTAAATTGTTTACATTTTAATCAGTTTGTCTATTTATCAACACTCACATGGTATCACATCAGGGCTGTGATGACTTTCGAGTGATAGGTCCAGATACCAGTTAAATTACCACCTTAAATTAAAGTTATCCTAAATGCTTTGGGGGAATGTATCCCTCGACAGGATACTGAAAATTCTTGAATAGCTCATGAGTGTGGCTCATCAGCTTGGCGGCCTTACCAAGATTTTTCAACGTCTGTGTGAGCACCAGATTTTCCAAAATTGGCTGAATACGCCAATTTGCGCATTCGGAATGAGCGATTCAGCTGCAGTTCACCAGCCTAGTTTGAAAGTTACTGCATATCTCTAACATCCTAGGTAATTTTCAACTCGGAACTGAGACTCCAGTATTTGTGAGAGTCAGGTAAACAAGTGCAATTCAGATGCAATCATGATAAACCATTGTGAACTGCAGAACAAATGCCTGGTCAACGAGTATCTGCAATAAAGTAAGGGTAATCCCTGGTCCAAAACGGGTTTTTCAAAGTTATCTAAAAAGCACCGTTGGAAAGCCTCCAATCACACCATGTTCTAATAGACATCTCCAGGTCAGTTGGAAACCTCCTGTTTGGAGAACGTTCGCTTACTGGACTGAGAAAAATAATATGTCTATGTAACTTAACAAACCCCACGGAGTAGCAGGAGAATAATACTATGTGCTGTCAGTGTTTGTTATTTTATTCTTCGAAGTTTTTTCACACACCGATTAATTAGACATGATGCAAGTGTAGCTCAACGTGGGTCTGCACATCAGGTTCGCGTAACGACTGCAGCTGAAGTGACTGCCGTTCGTGCTTCTCAATAATGCACTGCGTTGTGCCACACAGAACAAAATTACATGGAAAAGCCATAGGGACAATTTGCTGAGAGTGCTTATATCTGTTCGCTTCATATCTAGTTGTTCACCTCACTCGCAAAGCCTTCGGAATATACAAGATAATGAATGTTGACTATGTGCATCACTATTGTTTTGATACCAGCAGAGAAGTTGCGTTTTTGAGCGCGGTAATCACCCTACACAATCTCCACTCGAAAATAAGGGGAAAGAACCCCTATTTGAGGGTTTTAATTTGCTAGAATCATTCCTTAAAATGTCCAAAAGCGGCCACTCAACAAAATGCTGTTAAAATACTATTAGATGACTTATTTTGAAGCAGAAATTTTCCGCGGATATAGCGGTCTCTACTAGGAATTTCGGTTGCCAGTGTAGGGATCGTTTTTTAATCAACAGCGTTTATTCTGCAGTCACGGTAATATGGTGTGAATAAGTCCGACCTGAAGACACGTCACTGCATTCGTGTCTGGTTTGCACATTCCTAACTATCCCAAAGAGTGAATCAGGTTCAGATATCTTTCAGGGTAAACTTCACTGCTATTAATAATAATCGGTTGTTGAATCAATGGACGTGACAATCGTTAAGGTGCTGGTTCTTTTTTTCCCATTGTGACTAATTTTGAACCTAACAAGTGGGTGGCTTTGAACGGGAATCTATTCCCAACAGGGCTTCAATTGATTTTTCTCCAGCTGGCAGTTCTGCCACGTTCTCACTCATAGAGCCACTTCAGTCGAATACTTCGCAGTGTGTGAACCCAGGACGCATCCAATTCACGCCCACCATACGTCGTTAAGCTAACGTCTGTTGTACGACACAGGCTTTTGAAATGCATTGGTGTGAGTGAGAAAGCACTGCCAAGTGGAGTAACACAATTTAAAAGCATAAATAATTGGTAGAGTCTCCAGCGACTGAAATCGTTTTCAAACGGACAGTGAGAGAAGCTAGAATCCCGCGTAATGTCATTGTTATTTCAGCGTTTATCATCGGTGCTTCATTACGCAAGGAAGCCTAACCACTTTTAAACACCGCATCTGAAAAGCAAGTTATTCGTTTGTGTAAAATTTTCAATCTGCAGAACCCAAACGTTATGTTTCGGTGTTTTCATGAAAGGAACTACTCACAAGGTTGCTGAAAAGTCTCCGACAGCCCACGACTGGTTTCGCTCTTGTTGGGGTTCATCAGGTAGGTTCAGTCCCCGAGTTTCCGTCAACCTTATGTTCTACTTGAACCCGAATTGGACTGACTGCGACAAAGGCACTCATTAGCGTACCAATTTGGTTTTCACGAGAGACTCACTGGAATCTCTCCTTTATGATGTTCTTCAACTGAATATGTTGCAATAGGCTGCACTCGCTGAAGCACACATTTATCCTGGGATCATATCCGGTTTTCAATCTCTCGAGCAGGTGGCTGTGCAGAACCAGTGATATAAGCGGTACTCCCTTTTGGCGGCGACCGGAAAGCATATCGAGTGAAGGTTTCCAAAGAAACAATTAACAGTATTTTCAAATAGCTGGTGCCAAAAAAATGACGCCGATTAAATACAGAGCCAAAATGTTAACGAAAACAGTCATAGACGCAATATAAGTGGATCAGAAATACCCGTAAGATCTAGAGCGGTTTGTTGCAATTGAAAGTTCAATGCGAAAACCATGCAGGTTTATAAAAGGTGTGAAAGATGGGTGATTTCGAGTGATTCGTAAGAATAAGTACATTGACTAAAAGAAGTTTAGCGATCAGACTAGTTTTGGGGATGAAGCGGATACTATACACAAGATATTCCGAAATTGCTACTCTTCAAGTTGGGGTTTAACGACTCAATGCCATTTTCTCCCCTAGAGGGTCAAGGGCTACTCAGTGCCAATCACTCCAATCCATAGCAATAGGAAATACATGATTTGTCCCAGACATCCGTCCTCTGTTTTACTTACAGGCTGAGCAAACGGAGTGAATAAATGCATCCAAGCATCTCTGGATCATAATTCTGCTCAAGTTTCCTCTGGAAAACCAATAGAGTGATAATGACAGTTCAATTATTAAAGTGGGAGTGTCTTGGTAAAACTGTCTTTGTCGAGGCATCAGAGAAAGCAATTTAACATAAAATTTTTATGCACAACATTTTGGTAATAAAATCCATCAGGTGAATCGTTCTTCGTTGGAAAAGGCAGTATATTGTATGTTGTCGTTCCTAGCGGTGCAACTGACATGTGTCCGCCAATATGAATCGGGTTCACGCAACGATTGTTTTCCGCTCAGTTCCACCTTGAAATACTATGCATCATTCAAGCGTAGGTTTATATATGTAGAGATATTATCCCGTGTGTTCCACTTTCTAGACAAGGTTTGGGCGTTAGTGGCTACTCCCTGGCTTCGCCTGGAGGTTCATCTCGATGGGTCTCTTCCGGTTTGTTCCGGTAAATGTCCGAATTTTACGAACTCGGCCTTAGGTAGGTGAAAACACATTTTACCCAAGTTGCGCAGCTTGCAGAAAGACCCAAAATCCCTGGCTGTGAACTTATCGTCGAGGGCACCTGTAACTGGGAGCACTGCTGAGTAATTAGTGTTCACACCAAGGGATTGTTAATGCTCTAAGGGAACCCGAAAACTAGTTATACGAACGAGAAAATGGGGAGTACTAACAATGTCCGCTTGTTGAGTAAAATTATTACAATAGATATATATGCAAACAAGGGACTTATCGTTTTGCAGGTACAGTTTGATAAATCCTGTCGTAAATCCGGATGCAGGTTTCGTGTCTTCTTCGCTGTTGTAACAGCCACTCGTAGTCCTGGATATCTGTGAGTGAAACGCCGTAAAAATCCTGAGCGGCTCTGCTCCGAGCTGGACGACGTGCGAAGCTCCGTTGAGTTGTGTCGTGTTGCTGTGCTGGCATCCTATTTGTAGGACGTTTGCGTGCGTGTGGGTGTCAGCACATGACTTTTTGGTGCCGTATCAGACGGTAGACAGTCGATATCGGATGTGTATCTTGGTTTGTACTATTAGGGGAAAAAACGAGGTCTTGGGATGATGGGCTTGACTGTGAGCTGTGTAGTCAAGTTAGTCACGATTGTAGCGTGATTTGTGAGTGCAAGGAGAAAAAAATCGATCTCGTGATCCAGCGAGTGGCGGTGACCTGTACAATCATGTATGTGGCGAAAGGGTAGCTACAACTACCCTCCCCCTAGAAGGACTAGGATTGTCCAGGTACAAAGCGATCAGGCCAGTNCTGTACAATCATGTATGTGGCGAAAGGGTAG